GGATCATATGGTAGTTTTATTTTAATTTTGAGGAGGAACCTCCATACTGTTTTCAGTAGTGGCTGCACCAATTTACATTCCCACAAACAGTGACAAGGGTTCCCTTTTCTCCACATCCTCACCAACACTTGTGGGTGGTTGTTTTTTTGTCTTTTTGAAAATAGACATTCTGACAGGTATAAGGTGATATCTCATTGTGATTCTGATTTGCATTTCCCTGATGCTTAGGGATGTTAAACCCTTTCCTCTCATTCCTGTGTATATCAGTACTCACCCAAAGATTAGGAGAGATCCTTCTGTTCTCTACTCACAAACTATAGCCCCATTGAACTTCTCTAATATATATAAACATTAAAATATTTGTCTCCTCAACTCAGCAAACTGCTGGGCTCTGTTTGGATCCCCCCCTTTTGTTTGTTTGTTAATCCTCACTTGAGGATATTTTTCCCATTGATTTTTAGAATGAAGGGAGGGATAGAGAGAGAGAGAGAAACGTCGATGTGAGACAGACACATTGATTGGTTGCCTCCCTCGACCGGGCTGGGGATCGAACCTACAACCCAGGTTCGTGCCCTTGACTGGGAATCAAACCTGACCCTTCGGTGCTTGGGCTGACACTCCAGCCACCGAGCCACACAGGCCAGGGCCTGGCTACCCCTTTTGAAGAGCACAGCCTTAGCCACAGTCGCAGTTGCCTGTTGCCTCACTCCTTTGCTTCCTAGTGCCTGCCCAGCTTCTGTAGGCATTTGAGTTGAGACCATCTCAGCCTTCAACCAAAGGAATTCATCCAACAGGATTATCATATCCATCCCGGAGCAGCAGAGGTGACCCGGGTGTCCCTAAAAATATCCTTGCCATACCCACAGGAGCATATATTCATAGAATAATACAACTTCTATAGCATTATTTCCTATTTCATTTAATCTTCAAAGCATTCCCCAGAGGCTGGAACTGAAAGGCCACGTGTAAGGCAAAGAATCAGTGAACCCTCTAAGATGGTATAAAAACTTAGAGTGTGTGCAAACTTGGGGTGGGGGGCGTGGGTGGGCGGAAGGGGCTGGGGAAGAGTGTCCATGCCTTTCACCATGTTCTCAGGGGGTCCTTTAGCTCTGAAAGTAAGAGCCCTGCAATCAGAGGACAGAGCCCAGGGTCTGCCGCCAGGACACTTTGCCACATAGTTGTGTGGCCTCCAGCAAGTCATTTAAGTCACTTAATCTCTGAATCCGCATTTCTTCACCAAAAAATGAAAATGACCTACCCACCTTGCAGGGTTGGACAGATGAAGGGCAATGTATTTAAACCACTTTGCATTAGCAGGAGTGTAATAAATGATGGCCCGCCCCTTAATGTACCAGGTGGCAAACCGAGGCTGCAGGCACTTACAGACGCCTGGCATTCTGCAGCCCACGGTTCCCGGCTGCGCCCACCGCGACCTGCGGACTCGGGAGGGGCGCCCACGGCCGACGCAGCGCGGGTCCCGCCAAAT